GACTTTTGCACAACTTTTACACTATGTATATCTATCACACTGTCATATTTTTGACTCGAAGCAACCTCTCGCATAGTTTACAGTGTTGTACAAAAGCTGTAAAGCCTCAATCATAACCTTTTTTGTGGTTCAGCTAGTCACAATCATTATTTAAAGTGGCACTATTTTTGTTGATGCATTTGACATCAGCTTGCAAGGCATTTTCTTATTTTTTTGTGCTTACAGCCTCCCAGAAGTAATGCCAGGCAGTAAAAACAGCAACCACTCCTACAAAGCCGCTTTTTCTTTTTTTTTTACAGTTTTAATTGTTTTTTTTTATAACTGTGGGCAACAATGTAATCCTATAAGTCTTAAAACCTTTCACATGATTTTGCTGTTTTTTTTTTAATTTAATTGTCTTAATCTATGGTTCTGTGCAAGACAGAAAGATTTCAGTCTTAGCACACGAGGTAATAACCACAAATCACATGCTCATAATTAATCCCTAAGTAGTTCTGTAGGCACACAGTGTGAAAACCCTGTAAATAAAGTTTAGGCCGTTTAGCTTTGTGCATGACCTCTCGATTAAATATCCTAAACAATCAAGAACTGAACTTTCTCACCTTTAAACTGTTTTATTGTCAGCACTAACATTAGTAATGCGTATCTAAGGGAAAAAGAACTCGACTGTAAGATCCAGCTATGTATTGTGTTTTCTTAAATATATTTTTTTCATAATAGTCTTCAGCTTTTATTTATGGTTTTCATAAATTGAATTAGACCCAAAGCTACTTCCAGGGAGAAGTAGATCAGGTGTTACAGTAGTTTGGATTGTTTCAATTAAGTTTATTTTTAGATGTCAAACAAAGACTATGAAGGTGTGAATTTACCTTTTGTCTTTGCTCAGAAAAGAAGGGAAGTATCAGTAGCCGATGATTTTTGCTGATCTGGAACTTTATCTTATCTCGTGGTATATGTCCATGTTTTTCTCAGTAAATGTTTGCTTTACTCAGTTTCAAATCTTATCCTCAAAGCAGCTGCTTCTATAGACGTCTGGTATGATAAAACATATTTGATTTGAGCAGTGGGAGTAATTTATAATTGTTAAATAGGAAAACAAATAGTATTTTGTAAGCTGTAAAAATAAATAAATAAGGACTTTATTACAAATATGTGTATTTTAAAATAGTCTTCTAGAAGTTAAACATTACATTTGAAAACTGTTAGCCTGCAAACTATGATCTTGCTACTTCATCTGCTTTCAAGTTTTAATCATAGACTTTTTTATTGTTGCTTAGTCAGTTATGAATTGCCTTTATCACTGTTATTTTGGGAGGTACTCGTTTCAGTTTTGGTTCTCTGCCAATGTAGAAAACATTTCAACAAATCAATGCTGTTTGTGCAGAAAGTGAAGAGATAATTAGTTTGCTGATAAGTTTCCAAGGAGACGTTGTTTGTTTTTGCTTTGTATTGTATTCATTTCAGTGCAGCTTTTGTCCAGTGTGAACAGAAGCTGGACAAAAACAATGAATATTATTCACCCTAATGGAAATAATTCTGAATTGGCATGATTATTATCTTGTATAACATGAAAACATATTCCTATTAACCAAAGAAAATGCAACCTGAACGGAGTTGTTAGGATTAATTAACACAGTTAGAGTTGAAACTCGATAATGAAAAATACTCCACTGTTTTTTGATTCTGTGGAAACCTGTTTTAAAGCACAGGGTTGCCTCTGTGCCTCAGAATATGTTCAACAACTGTATAACAATATTTTCTTTCTCTTAATTATATTAAAACGAGTAAGAAGCCAGGAATTTAGTATCGATTTAGAGCTAATTTTTTCATATAGCTAATCCATAGATAAGCCAACACTTAGAAGTAGTAATGTCCTTTATGGAAGTATTAATTTTGGGTTCAGATGGGCAAACCAGATCCAATGTGTAAACAAGGATCTGGCTTGTACAAAAGGTTTAGTTTGTTTTGTAAATGATCTGGCCATTGAAAATGTATCCAGCAACATGCCTGTCTTGTTCCTGGATATATTTCATCATATTTTTTGTTTTAATCAGCAGAGTAGGTTCCCACAGCTGCTCTACTTGTCAGCTCCCATGTGAGCTCAACATTTGTTAGTGTTTACTTATTATTAGTGCTAAATCCTTATCTACTGAACAGAGAAGTAATAGACACGGCTCTGCTGTTATCAGTGGTGTTATTTTTATGTCTTCAGCTGTATTTTGACTTTTGACTGCTACAGGAGCTGCTGATGGATTATTACAGTCCATGATTCCCTTTAAATGTGACAAATAAATTGGTATTATTGATAACTTTGCATGTATCCCTTTCTGGTGCTATAATATTTTTGATGCTGCCTCTGCTTTTATATAAGACAGGAAAAATCAGAGTAATTCAACTTGGTTAACTTGAACTCTAAATAAAGTCTTATTTCTTTGTGAAGGATGCATTAATGTCTGTTTTAACATTCATACTGCTCCGAAAGTGTTATTAAGTTGTATATTTCTGTTTTATTTTAATTAAATTGATACCAGACTACTACTAATCCACATTTTTTGCTTTGTTATAGTTATGAATTTTGTGTAGACGGATGAGAAAAAGAGCTTGAAGGGCCTGAAAGCTTTCTGTCAGCTCCACATTTATCAGGATATAAACTGTAATTTGACTCGAATTTTATTTATTCATGAAATTTTCATTTGCGTTTCTGTCTGTTCTACATTTAGGATTTAACTTTGTTACAAGAACAATGTTGATCCTGTTTTGCAATCTATATGAATAATTAAAGCTTCACCATCTCTTTCAGGTTTAGCACCGTTTTTTTTTTTTTTTTTCCCAGGAACTCTAGTTTTCTGCGTTATTGACAAATCTGTGCAACCTAATGCAGCTGGCCTTGGAGAGCCTTGGAGAGATGTGGGCTGCATCTGTAATGTTGCCTGTAGTTAATTGAAGCCAAAGTGCTTTAGCTGTCCTGTTTGTAGGTTTTACCATAAAAGGAGAATGTGATTTATGGATTTATTTTTTCTGGATTACAGATACTTTTCAGTCCAGTTTATTAAAACATGTATTTGTTTGAAATGGTCTTTTGTCATTTGACTGTTTTTCTGTTGCTGGTGTTTCCCCTGCAGCAGTAAATGATGGATGTATATTCTGATGAACCTTGATCATTTGTTTTGGCTCATTTTTTTTAATTTTTTTTTACTGTGTAGCTTAAAGACGTTATGAACCTTTTGACTTTGCGTGCCAGTTACAGTTTATTCTCCATCTGTCTTTTTTGATTTGTCTTGTTTTTCTAGCATTTGGCATTGCAGTAATCTGACCAAGGAATGGTATAAACCCGTTTGTGTGGTCGCTCAAATCATAACCTCCCCAGGTTTAAATTAAAAAGAATCTCTCTGCAGATTTAGTTTATGTGTTTCTTCCTGGAAATTATTTCTCTCTTTTCTTTTTTCTCTTATTTTTCCAACCATTTAGATTACGTAAAGTTCATATTTTTACGGGCCTCTTCTGTTTACTTTTCTCTCAGGTCCGTTTTCAGACGTGGTCACCACAAATCTTAAGCTCTCCAACCCTACAGACAGGAATGTATGTTTTAAGGTCAAGACGACAGCGCCTCGCCGGTACTGTGTGCGGCCCAACAGCGGCATCATTGATGCAGGCACCTCAATCAATGTCTCTGGTAAGGATGAATTAGTAGTACTGACTTGTTTGTTAGATTTTCCTACAAGTTTCAGTGAACCCCAGCGTTATGGTAAATTTTTCTCTGCAATGTGACTCCGAATTTGCTTATTCTTGGATTTTTTTCATAGTAAACCAAAAGAGAATGCAGCGTAAAAAGCTGAAATATGTAGGTGCGATTGTATTTAACATGCTATTGGCTGGTGTTTGCAGAGCAGCCGGTCCAGGAACACCATTTATTTTCCTTGCTGCTGATTGGTTGTGTCCTCAGGAGTGGGTGTTAGCTTTTGCAGTTGTTCAAAGATGGCTTCAACTGTGCATATGTAACTTTATTTTATTTTATTTGTTAAAACAGAATCTATATCATGACCGTAGTTTGAGACAGGTAATCTGTGAAAAAAAATTACTTTTCTGCCTTCTGCCAGTGCTAACCAGAAACAACCAATCAGAGCCAGGAGGCGGATTTTAGTGCTGTCAATCAAACTTGTGTATGTGCTGCTGGGAGTCCAACGTAGTTCATTAAAATGCTGGATATTTAGTCCATAACTATAAAATAATATAATACACCAGTATCTAATTATACAGTTCTTTGGATTGTCACAATATTGATTTTTTTCCCAGTAATTATTACAATAAAAAATATTATTATTGAGATAATTTTCAAATAATGCATTGATAATGACATATTAATGCAAGTTCATCCTCTCAGAAACTTAGAAACTTTAATTTTGTAACAGGCACTTAACACTGGAATTGGAAGACATTTCAGATTTCCACAATAAAACACAATCAAAAACAATAAATAAAAAGGGAATAAAAACACCTCGCAACCAAGACTATAAATAAAATTGATTGTGATGTCTCTGTAAACAAAATTTCCCTTCAAAAAAAGTTTTTTTTATTTTTTTTTATTGTGTAACAATGGGAAATTTTAAAGGAAATTTCCAAAGGATTTCCTCCAAAAAGCCAGGTAGTACACCGAGTTTTACCAGGCTGCTTTTCCACTCGCTCTGTAGCAAAGAGATGAATGTTTCCATACTGTGACACCCCAACCAGATGCTCATTTTACAGCCTCCCCTATCTGGTGTCAACAACCCCAGACTGAGTTACTGCTGCTCGCTGTCAACAGTAGGTGACAAGCTGAGTCCATCATTCATTACCCTTATTAGGCTGAAAAGGGTCAACTTGGAGTCACAAAACAGGATTTCTTGCCTCAGAACAGAATTTTGTTGGCAAACTTAAAGGTGTGCTCTGTAATCAGTTTCTTTTCCCAGCAAGTACTCAGGCTTACATGGTGTTTTTAAAGCACTGCGGTTGACAGAACCGTGAAATGTGGATTCTAGCATTTCAGGAAATGTACTTATTAAAAACAGAGCACATTGTTTTGATGGATACATCCAGATGGATTTAAGTTCTTCCATACCTTTAAAAGTAAAAATAGTAAAATATTATCTATACTGACTATCTCAAATCATATTTGGCTAGGCTTTCTCTACTAAATTTAATTCAAATTGACTGAGTTGTTTGTGGATGTTGCTTGTGTGTCAGATTTATAGGTGTACCAGAAACATACAAATAAAAATAAATAAAATTTTTGTAAGCCATTAATTGCATGTAAACGGGTTGAAATGTATCAAAATAATTAATCAAAATTAATGCATTAAAGTCCAAGCCCTAATATAATTATATATACCTCTTTGCTGTAACTGTATGCTGAGTTTGACTGCGACCACAAGAATGTTGTTCATGATTGGTGTTAACATCTTCTAAATGGAAAAGTCTAACTTGACCATGTAAAAACATCTTTCATATCCACAACTATTAAAATGTATGTAGCTCATTGTGAATGTTTTTATGACACAGTATATGCAGCTCTGGATAGTGTTATCATTTCATTAGCTTGTCCTTACATTTATTTCCTGTGGGCCTTTTGTTTTGACTGAACCAGACACTGATTCATCTGTCCAAGCTGAGATCTGAGTAGATATTTACTCAATATATCAGCTCAAAAGTCTCCGAGTCATGTCTGATGTTTTCTAATAATCAGAGGCCGTACTAGCTCCATTTCAAGTCAAATATATTTTCATAACAAAGTTCAACGTATAAAGTGGAAGGCAATGAGTTGCAGGTTATTTCTGTGTAGTCAGTACTTATTTCCCTTTCAGATTTAATTGAATAGGACAGTCTCAGAAGCACATAATCAGGGGAGTAAAGGCATTGTGCCTAGGCCTGTCACGATAAACGATAAATCAATTAATCGCACGATAAATTAAACCTATCAACCTCATTTAAATTATCGACTTTATTGTCTCTTCCTGCCTTTTTTCTTTCTGTTGATGACACTGAATGAAAAAAGGCTCAACTCCGGTGCTCTCCACTGACCCTCCCTTCCTCATTTCCTTAGTGTAATGTCCAGCGTACACTACACGAATTGTCGGGCCATTTTCAAAACCTGAAAGACACATTAACCGACAGAAACTCTAGGTAACTGTTTTATCGGTTTCGATCGTGCCATGTGGTGTCCAGCCACATGGGCACAAAATTATGGCTACAAGTCCAGTTAACTAATTTTAAAACCAGGCATTAATCAATGCTTTACTAGAATCTACCTGTGACGTAGATTCTAGTAAAGAATCTACGTCACAGGTGGCTAGAGTCAGCGTAAAGTTCTGACTGAATGAAAATCATTATAACCTATTTATGTCACGTTAACGAAGAACAGCTGAAAACTTACCGGGTTTATCAACTGCAGTAGCAAATCTCCTTGTCATTTCTATATTCTTTGTATGAAATGTTGAATAAATATTAATGTTGTTTCCACATATCATCTCCGATGTCCGCTGGACTTCGGGTTGCACCGTGTCAGCTGTTTGGGATTCCCCTCCATAATTTCCCCTCAGAAAACACGGAGGAGAATCCGTGCTTTCTGATTGGCTACCTGTCACATTCAGCGTTAAGCTCCCAGTCGGGGAAAACCCCTGATTTAGATCGGAGCGACCACGACGATCTACCGTAACACACCACACACTGCAGGATGATCGGTTACGAAATCACCAGCGACCAACGTTCTAAGATTGTCATAAGAGGAAAATGGGGGCAAAAAATCGTGTAGTATGAACTACTGCATTAGGTAGTCGGATGTGCCCGTCTTCTCTATTTAAATCTAGTGATTACTGAAGGGCAATATAGTATACAGACTTCATAATCTGCACTCTTTTGGTTGAGTGCAGTATTTTTTTTTTCACTTTTGTTTTATGTTGGTTAGTTTTTATTAAAGTACGTTTTTTGTTAATGGAGACTGAGAATCCATTTTATTTTTGTTTTTGGTTGCTTTGTTTATTTAGTTTATCAGTTCCCGTGTTATGTGTTCTTTTGAAAATAAAGTGTATCTATCTATGGCAGCAAATAGCATGCATTATCGATTTGTGAATTAGACAACTATCTAACAAAATACTGCATTGTTTTAGTTGTTGGAAGGGGGAAAAGTGTTTTCTGTGCACCAGTTTCAGATTTTACAGACTTGTTGATGCAAAGAAGCCACTTTGTCGGTCAGTTTCCACTTGTATAGGCGTACTGATTTAAGAGTTTATCCGTATAAAGCTTTACACTAAGACATCACATCATAGCAGCACTGTTTCTTTTAAGTTTGAATGCAGCTGCGATTAAGCAGAGAAGATTTCAATCTGTTTTGCCAAAATGTACGTAACTTTTGATCTGACATGTATCTCCTCATCTGCTGTTAAATAAGCTTAAAAGAATATCAGTTTTATATCTTTTTTATATCTTTTGCTTTAGCTCAGGAGGTCAACTTGCGTCTTTGTGGAGTATTGAATATTAATTATACACGTAAACCATTCTGTCGATGCTTTTTTGAGGGCTTCTTTTAATGGTTGTTGTTTACCCAGCTGCCTTTGCTGTGCTTAATACCTTCAGCTCCTGAGAGTTTTATAAAGTGCTAGTTCTGGCATTAGACTAGAGCAATAAATAACACAACTTAAAAAAGAAGCTCTTTTTGAAGTCTTGTGACTTTTTCTCATCTCAAACAACCTTTTTAACACTCTCCATTGTTACTCTAAAATGCATTCATACGTTACTGCCTCCATTCTCTGGTGTTGTCCCTGCGGACCCAAGCTAGATGGTTGTGCAAATTGGGTCTGACTGAAACAGGACATTCTCAATCTGTTCATGCCGTCTGTTTCTGATTTGCAATGTTGAGCCACATTGATTGCTGAAATGGTGCACAACTCTGCTCTTGGGAGCATTGGCATGTGCCATATATGAAAGTCATGCTGATATCCAGGCCAGCTTTGAATACAGGTCATTTGTTTTCAGTGAAATTATAATAAAAGTAATAATGAAAAAATAATAATCCCACAAGCATAGAGGACGTAGTCGGCACTGACGTAGAAATATGGCTTCTGATTACATCCTGATTTAAAAGTTGGAGTCAAGGGAGGTAAATTATCCTCCATTTATAACCATTTTCATCTTTCCAGACCTCCGTTTGACGACACGAGTAAGTGATTACTGTAAATCATTTTTACAGCTTTAAAATACCTTCTCGGTGACATCAAATACTAGGAGGACTGATAAAGCGAGAGGCTGAGGAGAAATATTCTCCACACCTGCTTTTTGTTAGGCCGATATGTAATGCTCGGAAGGAAAAAGGCTTCAAAGTTGTTAGAAAGATTAGCCCCAGGGGTATCTGTCGGTCCGTCACCGTATCATCATCATGGTAACAGAAACGAGTCGTATTCATGCTCAATGCTGTACAAGCAGTCTCAAAGCCTTTGACTTTTATGTAGACATGATGGACATTTCAAGCTGTAACAAATGTTGTCTGCTGTTCCGTTTTATCTGTTGATGCAAAAATAAATTCTATTTTTGATTTCCATGAATTAACTAGAGGTGTGAAAACAATAGTCATGCTGTGTGGGGGGAAGGGTTCAGCATTACTTTGTTTTTCTTCCTTTCCTTTTACTTTTTTGATTAAAACATTTTTATAAAAAGGAGAAAATAAGAAAAAAAAATGTATATTTGTTTTGATCAACCCACAGAACTAACATGCATCATTGCTGTGACTTTGGCCTGACAATAGAAACTAAAAAAGTAAAGCAATAAAATGTAAAAAGAGAAAAAAAGTACTCTTTTTCTAAAAAGAATTGATACAACCATGTAGTAATGCTGAAAAAGTACAATGCCTGGTTATAATTTTAAATAGTTTGTACATATTTTGGGTTTAGTGCATGTACTTTTTTTTCTTAGGAACATTACATCATATTTGTGTGACAAACAATGACATGTTGGAAATTGTGGTTCTGTGCACTCGAGGTTAGATTTAAATGATTTTAGAATCATTTATATTTTTATACTCAACCTCAGTTCATGGAATGCATTTATTTAGCAGAGAAAACACGGATATTTCTGTCTAATCTGTCAAACATTAACAAGAAAAAAACTGTCTGATTTCAGCTGCTGGCTGATTTATTGGTTGCATCACTTCCACATATGAAGGGATTTTTAAATAAAGCAGCGTTATGTCTCATCATATTCAATAAATGTTGTCAGTTCAATTAAAAGAAAATGAAAAACTATTATATTGAAAACAACTGTGACTTTCTTCTTTCATCTCCAACCAAATTTCTTTTCAAATTTACTGCTGTGGCTTCAAAAATCCCTAAAGCCAACCTGAAATGTATTGTGACTCAGATAAGCTACAGTGCTGTTTTGCTCATTTGTTCTGTCACTGATTGTCCTTTTGTTTTTCAGTCATGTTGCAACCCTTTGAATACGACCCAAATGAAAAAAGTAAGCACAAGTTTATGGTCCAGTCCATGCTAGCGCCTCCTGACATGACTGACATGGAGGGAGTGGTAAGTGTTTCTCATCATTCTTTGGCTGTAGTTTGGGAATATTATCTAAACTGTTCCTGCATTTTCTTGTTCTGCATATGTGGAAAACACATTAAAAACACTTAAACCATTACAGGATCATTTTTGTTTGTTTGTATAAAAACAATAAAACAGTGACATCGGCTGATTTTCAAACCTTTGCTGTGGTAGAAATGATTGGTTTCTCACGCGAGTATCACCCAAAATTAAGGAAATCGCAGGCGATTTATCTGTTCATTCAAACTTAGCAGAAGCGCTAAATAAAAAATTAGCTCTGCTGTTAGCGCATTAGCAGAAGTGTGTCAACCATTGCAAATTATAATATTAATAAGCCTACATTTGTGCTTTTCATCAACAAAACACACATTTTGTTTACCAGTTTTGAGCAGCATGAATTGGTTCAAATAAATACAAATGTCTATTATTAATGTAATTGTTATTGGTTATTAATAATACCAATATTAATTTTTTGTTATGGTACAAATATATCATTATTATTTTAAATCTGTCTAATATAAAATAAGTGATTTTTAACAATGTCTGTAATAATTTGGTTCATTTTGCTAATGTAATATTTCTTGTGCTGCTGGCTGTTCATTATAACTCTGGTTATTTATCATACTAATTTTTTAATAAGCCTTCAGCTTATTAGGAGACATGTGTTGTCTAATAACCTAATAACACAAGTTTCTTACCAATGAGTTTATAGTTTAAAATATTCCCTATATTTTTCTGTCTGCAGTGGAAAGAAGCAAAGCCAGAGGAGTTGATGGACTCTAAGCTGAGATGTGTTTTTGAGATGCCAACAGAGAATGAAAAAACGGTCAGCTCTTGTACTTTTTGCTTTGTTTTATTGTGCATGCTGTTGTGTCATTACATATAATTCAAACTGTTGTACTATGGTATATTTTTATTTACCATTTCTTTCTTTCCAGCACATCTACAACACCTAATACATACGTTTACAAGGAGAGGCTGCATATTTTTTTCTTTTTGCACTCTCAAGTTTCTTTTTCAAAATTACAAGTTCTGGTTGTCAATTATTTTTCCATTTCCTCTTGTGTTTCTTCACCTTTTCTTGCAACAACCACACTTTAACTCCAACGGCCTTTAAGAAAGTCACTTTGTTTTAGGCTCACATGTAGTTTATTTTTGTTGTGGTTCTTCCTTGGCCACCTGATTCCGTTCAGCTGTAGACACGGCGTTTCATCAGAGATAGCAGCTTAGTCTAACAGCTTATTGCACGCAGGGAGCAAAAACAGCCTTCAGTAGTTGTTTTGAATTAGTTATGACCTACATGAGACGTTTGCTGGGCGCCCAGTAGGGGCTGTGTGCCATGGAGTGTTTTAGGCAGACATAATGGTGATGGAAACCAGCTTGATCCTCTTATGAAAGGCACTCCTGGGTGAACTCTCCTACAGAGGTGTCTGTGTCTTTCTACTGCTGTAAATGAACAGTGTTAAAGTTCCCAAATGTAAACAGATGGTTTTAACTTCATGCCAGGCGACTAAGGCGTTGTTGGGAATGTCGGTGTAAACATTTTAGCACCAGTTTACTGATTGCATCAACCCTCCGTAACCCACTTACAGCACGATATGGAGTCCAATAAGATGTCGTCGAGCTTGCTGAAGTCGGAGTCATCTGCGCTGCCCGTGAAGTCGCTGAGCTCCACCCTGAACGACGGAGAAGTAAAAAATTTCATGGAGGAGTGCAAGAGGCTGCAGATGGAGGCTCAAAGGCTACGGGAAGAAAACAAACAGATTAGAGTGAGTAAAACAACTCGAAAGACAAGAATTACTTCATTCCTTCTCGTCCTCCTCATTTCTCTTGTTTTGGTCCATTTCTCAAAGGCTCACAAGTCAATAGACAGACAGGAAACTTGAGTTTGTTCAATTCAAAAAATACTTTGCTGAGCCCAAGGGGAAATTAAATAAAGTTAAAAAGTTGTTTTAATTGTGGCTTAAAATTTATCCTTTGTTGTGGAATGAAAAATGTGAGTGCTTATCTCCCCAAAAGTACAATTTGACGAATAAAACCACTCATTGTTTAGACTGAAACATCCAGACTAAATAATGTTGGTTTTTCAAACCAGAGTGTCAAATGATAAAATATGTTTGGACGCTTCTGATCAACGAGCTCAGTTATTTAGAGTTGGTTTCAAACACTGAACTCCATTAATGTTAAGACTGTGCAAGTCCATCTTAGTCTTTTTTCAACATTTCTTAGGAAGACTGGTTGACATCCATCCTTCCATCAAGACCATCTCAAACATCATCTTGGCTAGCATTACATCAGCTAAAGGGATCTTTTAGATCTGTCTTATGTTCCTTTTTGTTTTTAAGGGATACTTTTTCAACTTTTATTAATGACATTATGAGTATCGATCCAAGAAATGTCACGTTATTTATGTATATATGTGGAAAACACAAAAAAATGTATGTGAAACACTTTATTTAAATATATTTTTTGTTTATTTTTGTTTGTTTTCAGTAAACTTAATGTTTCATCACTGAAATAAACCATCGGTCATATATTCAGATATTGCTAAGAGAAGGTCTTTTCATATTTATGCAGCCAATGACTATTTTAGTAATTGATTAATCAATTAATCTGATCTGATAATTGGATAAAAGGTTTGGCACAGTCTGTATAGTTTTCACTTAACTCTTTTACACAACATTAGAAACACATTAAAAGATGGAAATAAACAAATAATTAAATTGCTTTTTAAATAAGAAAATAATTTATTGCCTAAGATGCAATAACATAATATTCCTTTAGTGTATGTTTTATTATTTGCAGCAAAGGATGCACCAGCAGCTGAAAAAACAGCTTCTAACATCAATTTATGAAAAGTTTGGTTGTTTCTTTTTTGGATTCAGTAACTAATAAATGGAGAGCAAAAGGTACTTGAGAGTTTTTTAATAATGTGAATCAGGTGAAACTAAAACTACGCCATTTGATGAGTTTTGTGTAGAACATATTTTCAGACAAAAATTTTTTTATCTTAAATTCAAAATCTACTGATTTTTCCTACAATTTTGGTTTAATTACTGCTCTGTGTATGTTGCTCCCTCAGAAAATGGCTTTTTTTGCGTCTGTACACTCAAAATAATGATTAATCAATTACTAAACTAGTTATTTCAACAATCAATTAATCGAGATTAATAAAGATTAATCTGATTAATCCGATTAATTGTTTCAGCCCCAACCTGAAGTGTCTGAGAAATCATGAAAGCAACTTAAATGAATGAGCCTAAATGTTCTCATGTGTGCTGCGTATAAAACCAAACGGCAGAAATGAATCCTGTATCCTAAATGAAAGACAGATTGAACAAATAAACTTTTCATCAAAAGTTTATATGACTTCAATAAACCGTCATTTTGGTACTGATTAATAATCACGGTAAAGTAAAGCAAATGAATTAGCTTGTTGAGTCAAAGAAAGCGGAGAGCCCTCCACCCTGTGACAGCTATTCAAAGCCCAGTTTTGCAACAAGTAATTTAAATCAATGAGCCTGCTATCAGTCACAACTATCGATGAGGTAAGGTTTGAAAAGGAGTTCTGTAAAAGTCGGGCTGGGCATGAGTCACACACGCTCCCACCAGGCTGCCAAGAAAGAGTCGGCCTCCTCTCTAACATCACCGCCATCCCTCCCCTTTAAGGTCCTGCCAGAGGCAGAACGATTGTTGGCTGGTCCTGCGGCTCAGATTAAACTAACAGAGCGCCCCGACCCCGCCCCACCCGCTGCTGGGAAATGAAGTGTGTTAAAGCCTGGCGCCTTGTGTGTTCCTTGGGGGATTGGGTCGGATGAAACTTTAAGCAGATCCTGTTTCTTTGAGCTGATAAATAAACTCTTTTCTAGAGCGGGGCGATATGTCTTTAAAATATATATATATATATATATATATATATATATATATATATATATATATATATATATATATATCAGATCCAATTCTTTTTTTTTTCTTTCTTTTCCAGAAAGAAAGTTACAGAAAATGTTTTCAAAAAGTGGCTTTTGTTTTAATCATTCTTTCTGTGAGTTGTCCGACAGATTATTAGAGTATTAGGGCCAGATTACCAGAATTTTTGCTTTATGATAAGAATATACTAGGAGTAATAGGGGCGATATCACAATACTTTGTGGTGATAATGTGACCGTAAGAACTATTTATTATTTCTTTTTTACCTAACTGTGTGGCTGTGACTACATCAATCATACCTCCGAAAACATGAAAAACATGTCCATTCATAATACATTTCTACACCAATCACATAAAAAAGTGTGAATTAATTGCACACAGTAACTGCATTTAAACATATTTTCAGTTTTATTGATATTTATTGATTCTGTTGTTGAACAGTGGAGAAAATAAACTAACAATATTGACAATATTGACAGTTTTGGAAGGTTTTAAATATTGTTAATTGGCATTTTATTGTGACAACGATGC